TCAACGGGACACGTTCATCTTCACCGCTTTCTCGTGCCACCCCATTACCCTCCTCCTCGGTCCGTCCTTTGCCTTCAAGTTGCTGGGCTGTGGCGTTTTTTTTTCTCACTGCATTTTGGTTTAGGCCTAAATCAAAAGCTGACCCCAATATCCCCCTCGAAACTTCACCGCTGGGTCGACCTGCTGAGTGGGCGTCATCATAAATTTTTCCTCTGTCCTGTGCGCGTCGAAACCCTTGGCATAATGTCCTACTCCTGCTCGCCTACCGGTCCCGTCATTGAACCAACCTCGCAAGAACTACTTCCACCCGGAAACTACGCTTGGTACTCGGATCGTATGGACTCGTCTTCCTCTCTACAGCTTCCCCTCGTATTAATCTTTGCTTCAGGGAACCTCAGCATTCCGAGTGGACTGATCCTACCTGGTGTCGAGTTGGCGATGATATGGCAGAGCTTTGAGTATCTCGTCTTAACGATGGAAGGCGAAACAGTTTGCTCTCTGGTATGTTGTCGGCGTTTTTGTGACCCATTTACCTAACTTGTTGACCTATTCCTTCAGTATAAATTCCCTGTGGGCTTAGAGCTAGCCGTGACTAAACGCGACGCACACCGCTGTCGTGTCAGTGGCTCGAACGCGAACACAGTGGTAACATGGATCGTTCCTCCTCCTTGGGCCTGGGCGGTGAGTATACAAGCTCATGTCGAATTAAGTCCTTTCTGACATGAGCATGTATCAGACGTTGAACACCGGCGATCCTGACGGATTCGACGTCACCCCTTTCACCGTAGCGGCCAACGTACTTACGCTGCGGGCGGACCTTAAGGTTCACTTCTACAACCACAACTTTGCGGTCGATGCAGACGACGACTACCGCATCATTCTATTTCGCGACATGGGCGAGGCGCAGGGCCTGCTACCCACCCATCTTCCCCGTGGGCCAAACGACGATCCTGCCGACGCCGAATTCTTCCGCCTCCATCTGCGCTACACGCTCAACTTCATGCTCCTCGGGGGCGACGTCTCCGAGAAGTATCCGCCCCACGTCATTTTGCATATGATGGAGGAATTGGGCGTACGCGGGTGGGAAGACTGCGAAATGGCTCCGTTGACCGACGAGCGCTGGGGGACTGAGCTTGGGCAGGCGATTCTCGCTGATGAGCTCCAGGCTCGCATGGACCGCAGTGTCTACGAGTCCGAACTTGAGATGGACGGGCCGTCACTTGAGAGTGATCTCCAGGCAATGATGTTGAGGCAGCACTCGCCGTCTGACGGCGACAATCGTTGGCGGCTGCCTGAGCCCCCGACACAGTCCGAGGGGAATCTTTGGGGCTGGGTCTCCACCTGAGCGTCCTGGGCTTCGCGTGGCCATACTGTACTTGTCCTTTGCAGCGTGAATCTACAGTCGCCGAACACACAATATATAATCCTCCTGCGCGGGGCGCCTTTGAACCGCAGACTGAAGTCTAAACCCCCACAAATACGAAAGAGAAGCAGGCTATAATGCCTTTAGGGCGGCGCCTGAAACCAGCTAATCGCTGTGCGATCGCCTCCTCAGTTGTCACCAGTTTGTTCGTGTCCTTGGGCGAACGCGGACAATGCTCGAGTCTCCGCGCGCGCATGCAAAATAAGCTTCAAGCTATCTTCGTCGTCGGAGCCGGGGTCGAAGGCGGCCATTTGATTTTCACGGACTTGGATATGGCAACGTTCACGTCCGCGCTGTTGGTCAGTGCAGGGGCAGTGGACTCGGGTTAGTTTAGGGATGAGGTAAGACGTTGGAGGACGTGCTCATAACCCAGATGTAGAAGGGGGATTGATCGTACTTAGATGGTAGTCGATGAGCTTGAGATGAGCGTTTGTCAAGCCGGGGACGAGCTCCGGCGGAGAATTCGCGAGGAGGGAGAGAATGCTACACCAGTGCTTCTGGTGCTGAGGACTGGACCAAGACGATCACTCGTTGACCTAAACTGAACCTCAGAGTCAAATGCATCTTTAGGTCAAGTCAAGGGACGAGGGTGAGAGTGTTCTGCGCCCCACTGTGGAATTATTGGACAGGAGCGGGCCGAGAGACGTCATCGAGGCGAGAATAGAGTACAGCTTAAAGAGCAGAGAGGGCAGTGGCCAGTGAAGCCACACGAGGCAGCGGAGGCTAGGAGGCTCAGAGGTAGCGCGCGAGCAGGGATATCGACATACGAAGTCGACTCCTGGGATTTTTGCCAAGTCCGAGAGTACGACAGCGCAGACTTCAGAGAGATGGGGAGGGTGGAGCTTGATAGAAGGATTCTCACGACGACGTGGGGAACTATGTCGAATTTGAATGGCCCAACGGGCGAGGAACAAAGTCGGTGGTTCTAGGTGGACCATCGCAGGTGAGCGATAGGCGGGTCAAGATGCTGCTGCGGATAAGCTGCTGTGGAAGGGCAATGAGGGTTTGCCGGATGAACGCAGCGGCGGGGGCGGGGCTGATATCGCGGAGGGTAATTGATTGTAATGGGGAATGCGGCGGGCCGCGCCGGCGGGGAAGTCGAGGGGTCACTCCAGAGATTCAAGGGTATGCACCTCAGGCTATTGACGTGGATATTCTGGAAAGACAAGAGCGCATCCAGCGAAGGGCCATTGAGGACTTTGCACGCGACGCGGCGAGCGTCAACGTCTTCCCGGCTATCCTTGCGCTATCCTGAGTGGGGTCGGAGCAGATTTCCGTTCAAGTAAGTAGTACGAGCTGCAAAACTGTGGGAAGATGTGCATAGAGGGTGTCGGAGATTGATCACGGATCAATTAGTGATCGATCGGCCAACATCAGTCAGCCCGAGGTTTCTCGCTCAGCAGCTGAAGGACTCAGATTCAAGTAGAATATTCTAGATAAAATTCTAATAGGTATATAAGCTGTAGTAGTTAGTCCATAGCTCCCTACGAGTTTTTACCCAGTCGCCTAACAGCGCAAGTGCTAAGCTTAACAGCTCTCGGCTAAATCACCAACAAAACTCGTCAGCTTACACTTTCCCCCGCCGCGTCTCTGTTCCCGGAGATCAGCACCCCGAAGTCGCGCTCATCGTCGAGCCCGCATCCGAAGCCGCGCTTGTAGAAGCCCGCATTTGAAGTCGCGTCTCAGCCGGAGACCCGCATCGAAGTCGCATCTCGGTTGAGAGATCCGCATCGAAGTCGCGCCACGTTTGGCCCGCAGTGAAGTCGCGCGTAGGATACGCCCGCACCCGAAATCGAAGTCGCGCTTTGGGATAAAGCCCGCACCTGTCTGACATGGGTTCAGATAAATTCGACAAGTTGAACGACTCCGGCAATTACGACATGTGGGCGTACCGCATGGAAATGTTGTTGGAGAAGATGGATCTGTGGGAAGTTGTAGACGGGACCGCGCAGCCGCCGGCTGCTGCTCCAGGGACGTCCGCAATGAAGAAGTGGGAGAAGAGGAGGAGATTGGCCAAGGCAGAAATTGTCTTGAAGGTGGAGGACTCGCAGTTGATCCATACCAAGATGGATGACCCCGCGTTGATCTGGACCAAGCTCGAAACGGTTCACAAGTCGCGAGGATTTGCGACCCGCATGACGTTACGCCGTCGCTTCCACGCTATGGCGAAACAGGAGGAGCAGACCATGCAGTCCTACATCAACCAAGTGCAGGAGCTTGCAGGGAAACTCACGGATTTGGGATCAGAGATTTCGGACGAAGAAACGATCCTTGTCCTCACCCAGGGACTCCCCGATAGCTACGACAGCCTCATCGTTTCGCTCGACGCAACCGCGCCTGATGCTCTCACGGTTGACGGAGTTATTGCTCGCTTGATTAACGAGGAATCACGCCAAGAGCCGGCCCGAGAGAAGTTGAAGGAGGAGAGTAATGCCACCGCGTTCTCCGCGCGAGAGGTTTGCTCAAATTGCCAGCGCTCCGGACACCGCAAGGAGAATTGTTCGCTGCACAAGGGAAAAAGCAAAATCAACACTTCAAAGGTTGAATGCTGGACTTGTGGAGGTAAAGGACACATGAGCAATAGGTGTCCTAACAACGAGACGGAGAAGGCGAATTTGACGCAGGAGGAGGAGCAGGAAGTCAGTAACATCGCGTACTGATGTGACCGCTCGAGGAGGAGTGTCGGAGATTGATCACGGATCAATTAGTGATCGATCGGCCAACATCAGTCAGCCCGAGGTTTCTCGCTCAGCAGCTGAAGGACTCAGATTCAAGTAGAATATTCTAGATAAAATTCTAATAGGTATATAAGCTGTAGTAGTTAGTCCATAGCTCCCTACGAGTTTTTACCCAGTCGCCTAACAGCGCAAGTGCTAAGCTTAACAGCTCTCGGCTAAATCACCAACAGAGGGTAACGCGGAAGGGGAGAGAAGCGAGAAAGTCGAGGACGTGGTGGTTTGGGAGAAGGCGGGTCACGCCGTTACCGTCACCATCAGCATAGCCACATCATTTTACCGATGCGTTAGAGCGACAGACTTTTGGTTCAGTTTTGTCCCATTTAATATTCTCGAGCTTCCCGGTTCAATCGAATGCCTCTAAACCCATACTAGCACAGCGGGCACCCTCTCTGTCGATCCCTGCCAGTGCCGTCTCAAATATTGCAAGTTTTTCCACCTTCAATGCGAACCAAACCCGAACCGCCTTTTACAAAAGCGGCTTCGGGTGGGCGACAGGAGACTCTGACGTGGTGTGCGGCACGTAATTTCCTCTTGCAGGGGATGGTTACGCCAAGTGGGATCAGGTTCGACTCCTGGTGTCCGAATTCGATGAGCCGCTTGAGATTTTTTCTCGCTGTTTGACAATCTGCATGGCGTTCAGCGCAACTAGGGAGCTACACAAATCAGACGCAACAGGCAGATTTGGACGTCTATTCCCTTAGTCGGGTCGACGCCACTCGTCCCGCGGCCGCATGGGCGCGTACTATTCCTTCGACGCCTGCCAGGCTGCGCCGACTTTACACTGGATATTCCAAGTTGAGCAGTCTCAACCCATTGGGCTTGAAGGACACGAGTAAGTATCGGAGGTGGTGCATGGTGCACCCCCACCCCGTGTAGCCATATGTCATTCTGGTCTCCAATAAATGGGAGTTTCGGGTTCGATTCCTGACCTCCGAATATCCACAAGCCAGGCTCGTTTTACACTTCCTTTTCGTCCTCGCAACTCAAGTGGATTGCGGTGGTACAGTCCACGACGTCCGAGTTTGGTTTCATCCTGCCCCGTTTTCGGCGCCTGGTTCAATGTTGCTTCTAAGTTCAGTTGCGGTACAAGACCGGCTGCCAGGCTGGACTTGATTTCGTTATAAGTATCCTTGGTGTATGCATGGGTAGTTGCACGTCCCTTCCGCTTCATCTTTCCTCTTCTAACAATTCTACTCCTCACAAAGACTGTACCACATTCCCGTCTCCGTTAAGCAAGTAACCGAAACCTCAAGCGCAACCGTGGGAACACTTCGTGTCGAATCAGATCATTTGTCAGCGGCAGTTGCCGGTTCTCTTCTTCCTCCACCATGTCGCAATCTCGGAGGCGACACCGTCCCTTGCTGGATTTTTTCCACAGATCATCATCGTCCTCCAGCGATATGCCACCCGCTTTCCCCACGTAGGAGCACAGCACAGACTGCAAGAAAGCGACCCAGGGCAAACCCAGGGCTGCATTTCACGCCCCCACGAATCCAAGGATCATCGTCGGCCAACAGCAACTCCCCCCTTCCGAGGTTACAAGTCTGTCAACCACCCACACTCTCATCCACCCCGGTACCGCTCCTCGGGGGATACCCGGAGTTTCGCGAATCCTCTCCTACCTCACATGACGATCCAGACGGACCGTCCCATGCTATTCGAAGGCCATATAAATACGCACACATCCAGCGTCCCATCCAGCGGACATGTCTTCTTTCTGTCGCTTACTCCCGATTATCGCACTCGTCGTGGCGCGCGTCTGGGCGCAGAGTCCTGTCTGGGGGCAGTGTGGTGGGGCTTCGTGGACGGGGGCAACGACTTGTGTCTCGGGGTGCGTTACAATACTCATGAACCTCGGCGCGCGGAATGACTTACGCCGCATTATACGCAGATCTGTATGCACGTTCCAGAACTCATGTAAGTACATACGCTCCGGGAGATGGACCCCGATACTCACCTGTCCACGACAGTCTACAGTCAATGTCTCCCCGGTACAGCGACCACGACGACGCCAGTATCGACCACAACGACGGGCTCGAGCCCTCCGCCGCCCTCGAAGGCGGTCACGTATTGGTTCCCTTTGTACGTCTCTCGTCAATAATTCCACCTCGCCACTAATTGCGACTGGTTCTGCAGCGGCGACAGCTACACCACCACAGGCTTCGACCCCACCCAAACCCTCCCCAGCGTCGGCAACCCCTTCGGTAACCCACCGTTCCCGGGCTTCACCGGCGGCGGAGGTAATGTTGTGAACCTCCCTTACATCAACGCCGCGCTAAGCCAGCCAATGCAGGCGAAAACTTTGTCGGCTTCGACACAGTCACATTCAACAAGTCCTTAATCCTGACGTACAACTACGCCTACGGCGGCGCGACGATCAACTCCACGCTCGTGGCGCCGTACCTGCCGACTGTATTGTCGCTCATCGATCAGGTGAACGAGTTCCTTGCGGGCGCGGGGAAGAAGCCTGCGACGGCGCCGTGGACGAGCGCGAATGCGCTGTTTACGGTTTGGATTGGTGCGTCTCCTCTTAAATTCTTATTCCCCGTGGGAGGCGAGGAGGGCTGAGGCTGGCGGGTATGTAGGTATCAACGACATCGGGAACAGCTTCTTCGAGACGGGGGACCGGTCTGCGTGCGTATCAGGTCTTGGTTGCTTGTCTCAAATCAACTCTGAATCGTTCCTCCCCTTCCCCTCTTGCAGGTTCTCCGACCTCCTCCTCAACCAATACTTCGCGCAGGTGCAGAAACTCGTACGTCCACGTCTCTCCCTTTCCTCGAATGGAGGCAGAAACACCTCCTAACCACCCCTATTTATTTCGGTTCCTGCAGTAGTACGTGTCTTGCTTCCTTCTCTCCTTTTAACTTTACGGCTCACTCACCAACCACTACCCCAGCACCGCCGGCGCGCGCAACTTCCTCTTCATCAACGTGCCCCCCATGGAACGCTCGCCACTCGTACGTCGCGCGTATCGTAAGCTCCCTGGAGTAACATTACTCACTTGGCCGCAGATGATCGCAGGCCAAAACGCCGCCGGGCTGGTCCTCCTCCAGTCGGTCATCACGACCTACAACACCAAGCTGGCTGCCAAGGTCGCGGCGTTCAAGGCTGCTAATAGTGGGGTGCGTCCGCTCCTCCCCTCCCCTCCTTTTGCGTTGTATCTTGTACTCGTACTAAGGAGGATCGCAGGTGACGACCTGGCTCTGGGACGCCCACACGGCGTTCACCACGATCCTCAACGCGCCGACGCAGTTTGGCTTCGTCGACGCCGTGAGCTTTGGCGCTACGGGTGATTTCTGGGGGTGAGTCGCCTTTTCTTCTGCCACCTCCTCTTCTTCTGCCCCTCTGCTTCTACCTTTCTTACGCTTCGACGACTGCAGCAACAACTACCACCCTTCGAGTGAGTCTCCTTCCGTCGGTAATTTGGGGAAACGGTCGCTGAATGGAATCCATCTTTAGGCGCGGCGCATCAGATATTCGCGAAGCAGATCAGCGCGCAGTTGGCGGGGACGGCTTGGTTCTAGCATGTCTTTGTCCTACTTATGGTGCAATTCAACAAACGACTGGAATCGATTCTCCTTCTTTGATGCGCGCAATCAATTCATCCCACCAATCGGCCCGCCCGATGACCCCGTGTCGGCCCTCCTTCTCCAGGTGATCCGCCCAATCCCCGACATTTCCGCGCCGACGTCCATATATATAACCGCAACCTACTAACGTGTTCACGCCCCTCCCTCCCTCGCTCTCTCCTTACAGCGAAAATAAAATGCTACCAGTCAAACTCATCGTGGCGCTATGTGTCTCCGCTGGCGTGGCGCTTGCCCAGAATCCGATATTCGGACAATGTGCGTCGGATTCAGTTGTTAAATGTTGGAATCAATTTGGCTCACGGTTTGGGTTCAAGGTGGTGGGATTAATTGGACGGGAGGTGAGTTCGAATTCATGGTTGAAATTATCTGAGGGGCAGACAAGTTGATCGGCTCTGGCAGCTACGACGTGTGCGGAGGGCTCGAGGTAAGTTGCTCGAGGTGGTTCAAGGGGAATAGAGTTGGTTGACCTCGCTTTCCAGTTGTGTTGTGCAAAACCCGTTCTTCTCCCAGGTTCGTAGCCTTCTCCACGGGGGAAACTTCGACTGAATCCCCACTCGTAAAGTGCGTACCCAGCACAGGCACAGGCACGACCACGCCCCTCCCGCCCACCACAACGCCCAGCAGCACCATCAAATCAACCACCAGTTCAACTTCAACCCGAACCACCACCTCCCCAACGACGACCTCCACCGGCACCACGGGGCTCAACATCCGGCTCCTCCCCCTCGGCGACTCGATCACGTACGGCTTCACGAGCAGCGACGGGAACGGGTACCGCGCGGCGCTGCACGACATGCTCCAGCCCGGGAACACGCTCGATTTTATTGGGTCGATCAAGAGCGGGACGATGGTGGACAATGATAACGAGGGGCATATTGGGGCTATTATATCGCAGATTGCGCAGTCTGCGACGAATGCGCTGGCGTTACCTGCGCGGCCGAACGTGCGTTGCGTCTTTTTGTCATTTATTCCCTCGTGTGACGGTGTTGGGCACGGCAGGTCGTCCTCCTGATGGCGGGCACGAACGACATTCTAGACAACATCAGCTCCGGCGCCCCCGCGCTCCTCTCCTCCCTCATCGACACCATCTTTTCCACCTGTCCCGACGCCGCGGTCCTCGTCGCGACCCTCACGCCCCTCACCACCACCAGCACCATCCAGGCCAGCGTCGACACGTTCAACGCCGCGGTCACGCAGCTCGTCAATACGCGGAAGGCCGCGGGGCAGCATATCCTGCTGGCGAATATGGCGCCGGCTTTGGGGGCGGGGGATTTGATTGACGGGATCCACCCGACGGACGCGGGGTATGTGAAGATGGCGAATGTGTGGTTCCCGGTCGTGCAGCAGGCGGCGAAGAACGGGTGGATCGGGAAGCCGGTGTAAAATTGTGGTAGTTCGACGAGGCTGAGCGATTATATTGTTGAAGCGAGTTGAGAAACGAAGCACGGACGACCCAAACATACACAAACTTTCGAGACGCGTCGCGTGAAAAACAGCAAGAATGTCATTGAATGAACGCCCAGACCAAATCCCAAAGTCGTAGTACTAGATAGAGTTCACGAAGTCCTGTCCTATGGATGAAAGTATCCTGCCTCGCCTAGGCGGTGGGCTTTTTCTTGCAGAAACCATCGCTTTGGATGATAAAGTCGATGCTGCCGTCGGGCTGACTCTGTCCGCCACAATTATCCGCAGAGTCCGCGGTGAGGCACTTCTGGAAGAGCGCGCAAGTGAGCTGGGGGCTCCCATCCTGTCGACCCATCAGAAATTGCGATAAATAATGAGTTTTGTGACTGACCTTTCCGTTGACGTCGTGGTAAGCTGTTCGGAAATTAGTCGTCGCTCAATTAGTCTAGTGAGTAGCGCGTACTGTTGAAGAAGGTGCATCCGGAGATCGCGTCGCACATGGCCGCGCAGTCTGCAAAATTAAATAAATCACTCCACCCAGAAAGGACAGTTTGAGGATAATTACCCGCGATTGTATCAACAAGACCAAAAGTTTCGTAACTGTCATCCTGAGCCGCACAGGTCAGGTTGTAGAAGGTCTGGGAGAACTCCGGGGGCGGGGAGGGCTTGTCCGGCGGGGGAAGCTTCGGGCAATGCAAGCCGAGCGGGAGGAGATCCAACAGCGCACAGAGGACCTGATGAAGATATTTCAACAACATATTTCGCAGTGAGCGGGCTGGACCAGACCTGATCCAAGACGCAGAAAACGCCGCTCGGTGGGGGACCACTGCCGAAGTACCATCCGGGAATGTGACCAGGCTCCCATGGCGGGATCGGCGCCCCGTAGTCGTTGCCCGCGTCAAGGATGACCGCAGTGGAGATATCGTGGTCAGAAAAGTTGGCGGCCGACACGCCAGTCGCGACAACGACGAGAGCGGAGAACAGAGTGCTGAAGCGCATTTTGGTGTGTTTGAGGGGGGTGTGTGTAAGTCGCTGGGTGGAGGACGCACAATTTTCAAGGGTTGTCGACGCCGGCTTTATACGATGTTGAGCGTGAGCGTGCCTCTCATCAACATTCTTCAGCATCGACATCTGGCCTGGCCGACGGCGTCAAGACTGTCCAGGCCAAGTCAGAAGGAAGGCGAAAGGCCTCATTTTATCCCGCATGTACGGCAAAAGAACCCAAATGCTTAAGTCCCGTTCCCTCGGCCGTAACAAGCCGTTCGGCATACCACTGCATACCGTCTGTCAATGGGTCCAGTCTTCCGGCAGCCTTCATGGCAGTGAAATATCAAGGGACCTAGGGACGGCGGAAGCCAGACCTCCTGTGATTGACACCCGGAGGCAGCGCGGTGATGTCGCAGAAGAAAAAAAAAAGAAAGTATTCCAATTGTGGCCGGTCAGCACTCTAAATCCGCCTTCCCTACGAAAAAACGACGCAGAGTGGATATCAAGTGGGCGAATCTGAGCTGGGAGCTAACACCTCAAGGCAATGCAAAAACGAACAGACTCGCAATAGCACAGGAATTGAAGGTGTTTCAACCAGTGTCAAACCAGTGTTCAACAGCACATTTCGGCATTGATCAACTCTCGGATCACTGCAAGAAATCACCGCGTCTGGATGAGAACATGTGGGATATAGCTGGTAGCTTTTTGACATCGACGTCCGAACTTCATCCCCCAGATTCGAGTCAGAATTGCTTCTGGCCATCCCTGGTAAAATTCTGTCTGTTCGATGCTGGTCCGTCAATACACCAATGTCCTGGCGATAATGTTCGCCTCCTGAATGGAAGAGACTTTGGTCTATTAATCGGAGAAGATGAGCGACCGCGCCCTTGACAGGTCCTCGGGAAGGAACAAGATGGCATGGGCCAATGTTCGTGATTCTTGACAGCTTAATATATGCGGGCAGCCGGGATATGGTTTACGCAGACAGGATCCGGACAGTTATATCCATCTGCGTTGTCTTGCGACCCGGAATACTCTCTACACCCACTGAACTCTAGGTTCTCAGAAAACAACGGTGCAGAGGTTTGTGAATGAAAAATAGACGTCAGCGGGCGATAAATAACAATACGATGTGACGAGATTAGCGGTCGATCAGTCTGCGCTTGAACAAGCGGAAGTATGTTCAACTTACGTAAGGTCGACCACGAATGAAATCAGACAGCAGGAATTGTGGGAGATACAAGGAACGGCCGCCCATCGAAATATTCAGGACCACCGCGGCGAAGCAATGAGGGGCATCGATTAGAAGTTTCATTCGGCCGTTCACCTATACGAAAAGTTACGATGGAACACACGCCACTCATCATGGTCCGCGTCAAGGTCGGATGCTAGGCTCGAATCCGGCCTGTGTATGAGGCCAGCTCTCTATCGACAGCTTATTCATAGACAGACACGGCTCCAGTCACGGTCCGCCGCGGCAATAAGAACAGAACTGAGCTCAAAAGAAATTACAATTCATGGTAAAACACATACACAGCGTGAAAAATGGCTGCGCTGCCCTCACTACCAGCAAATCTTGGGTGAACGAACCAGGCAAAAAGCACCTGCAAGCGGAAGGTATGCGCCACTGGCACTGGCACCCGACTGATACAAGTTGAGACGCTAATTGCAGGCATTGCCAGGGAGGTGTGCACCATGTCCGCTGGGTCAGTATGCCTTTAGAGGGCTTCAAATGAATCGCGAAGCTCGAGAATATCAAAAGGGACAAAATTGAACCAAAAGTCTGCCGCTCAACCGCACCGGACAATGATGTGGCTATGCTGATGGGACATCGTTATCAGTGATGGTCACGGCGTGACCCACCTTCTCACAAACCACCACGTTCTCTCAGCTTTCTCTCTTCAGTTTGGGCGCGACACTCTCGATGCACAGAGCCCTCAAGATCCCGGAAGTTCTGCAGCTCGTACTGCTCGAAATCTGCCCCGAACCCACGGAGGATCCGAGCAAGGAAGAGACCTGCGCTCTCGCGACGCTGGCGCGCACGTGTAGAATCCTAAGCGACCCTTCGCTGGACGCGCTCTGGTCTTTCCAGAATACCTATGTCAATATTCTGAGGTGCATGCCCGCGGATCTCTGGAGCGAAACCTGGGTAAGCTTCTTTCTTGCGACTCAGGAAAGTGTGGCGAAGTAATAATTGCAAGCCTGTAGACGTTGCGTCGTCCGATTCTGCGCAGTGATTGGGATGGACCTCTCCGCTACGTTCATCGTGTCCGAAATCTATGCTGCCGCAAAGGTACCCTGCCGGCGAATGGTGATCATGCAGCCATCTTCGAGATCCTACGAGTAGCCCTCCCAACCGCACACCTCTTCCCGCACCTCCGCAGGCTGCAGTGGCTCTTCTATCCGACGGGCCCTCTTTCCCTTGCCCCGTTGCTCTTTGCCCCTACTCTCACGACTCTTGTCCTGGGCAACTTCGAGACCATGTTCCAGCTGAGCATGCTGCCCTCCGTCGCGGGCAAGTGCCCGATGTTAACCCACATTGAAATCTCTTGTTGGTCTTTCCCCGAGACCGAATTCTCTCAGGCCATTTCATCCTTCGTTTGTGGACTCAGCCGCATCGTATCGCTCCACGCTCCGTCTCTCAATAACGCAGCGTTGGCTCATCTCATGACCTTACGCCACCTTCAAACCCTCATTCTTGAGGATCCCACCATCGAAGCACCTGTGGACGGCCGTGATCCTCCCAGCCCTCCGGCGGCCGCCTTTGCAGGCTTGCGCCATCTAACACTAGAGGTAGCGACCCCGCAATGCATCCTAGCTTTTATTTCCGCGGTCTCGCATTCCCCATTGCAATCACTTACCCTTCGGGACATCAGCGCCCCCGATGCTTCCACCATGAGGCAACTTTTCAGTGCCCTTCAACGGCACCTGCCCCGCAGCCTCTTGACGCGCCTATCAATCACCAGCGACGAGACACTCGGTCCACTCAGAACCACCATCGACGCCCTACGTCTCTTATTCCACTTTAAGAACCTCACCCACGTCGAGCTCCGCCCACCCACCGGAATCGACATCTCCGACGACGACGTGCTCTCCCTCGCGCAGGCATGGCCGCGCCTCGGAAGGCTCACCCTCCGCCAGCAACTCAGCAAGGCGCCGCCCCCAACTGCAACCCTCCGCAGCCTCCTCCACCTCGCCGAACAATGCTCGAACTTGGCGCAGCTCGAGCTCAGTCTCGACGCCTCGGCGGTGCCTCCAATCGCCCGGAGCACCCACGGCGCGCGCCTCTATCACCACGCACTCACCAGCTGGATCGTCGGCCCCTCGTCTATCTCCGCCCCCCTCCAGGTCGCCCGATTCCTGAGCGCGATCTTCCCCGCGCTGACCAGCATCTCGGTCGACAGCGAGGATTACGGGGACGACGGGGACGACGACGAGGACGCCCAGATGTGGTACGAGGTACAAGCCGCGCTGCCGATCTGTCACGAGATGCGGGAAGAGGAGCGGTTTTGGGTTGAACGACAGGCAGCTGACTCAAGGGCGGTGGAACTGTGAGCGTCTGAGGCAGGTTTCTTTACTTGATTCCTCTAACTTGGCCGGGTTTTTTGTGGCGACCCGTCTTCGGTCAAGCGGCGATAGTTGAAAATCGATGTATCCTGGTTCAATGCGATTATTTCGGCCGCTAGTTTCGGCATCGCGGTCGAATATTAACAGCCCGAATTGCGACAGTATAAAACCCGAGTCAACTAATTCTATGATTGAAATTTGGGACTCGATTTTCCACTCACCGCGGTCGGCTGTGTATCCGAGCCTGCCCGCGTTAGCTGCAACGGCGCACCATCATTACGGGTGTCTTCGCCTTGCTGCAGGGTAAGTGTGTCTGGTTCCGAGATTCACAGGCCAGATACGCAGGAAAGTGTCAGGGCAGACAGACGGACCATATATCGGCGAGAAGCGTTCACAATCAATTCTCCAGGGAAAGAAAATATTGAAAAAACCGACCGGCGTGCACATACATGGCTTTCCCCGAATTGAACGGGAGACGTCTACTTCACTGCCCATGAAAGGTACAGGTGGGCGGTTGGCTACCAAGCACTGTGTGCGCCGTCTGAATTCCCTCCCTTCCCCTCTCAAAGTCGCTGTCTTGGGTGGCTCGAAGGGCAGGTCAAATCCGAAGCTACTTAAAAATCGCTGAAACTAGCGATGTCCACTGAGACGCCATGAATCGAACCTGGAATTCCACTTAATTTCTTATGACACCGAGAGGAAAGAAGGCGGGTGCGCACGGCGCACCGCGTCTCATGCTGACTTGAGATATTTCAAGACATGACAGTTTCGAGCCAAGACAAACTAGTACTCAGAGTCACCATGGATGTAAAATCATGATGAAACACACACACCTTGCAGAACAGCTGGCCTACCCTCACCACCGAAGGGCACTCGAATTGTTGAGCCAGGTAAAAGGCTCTTCTCCACGGAATTATTCGGACGCCGGGAGTCGAACCCGGAACTCCCACTTCACGACCTCCTCACGATGTACCAGAGGTGAGTGTGCACCACGCACCACGCCCGATTTCTCTTCATCAGCTTTCGAGGCCGCTATGTTGAGTGCTTTGAAGGCAAGTTCAATGCCAGTGCAAAAATACAAAATACATTTATCATGAATCACATGAGTTACAGATGCCAGGCATTGAACGTGAACCTGGACTCGTGAGGAGATCAACAGTCACAGGAAACGGTGGGCGCCACACACACCACGTCCCATATCACACTGATTGTGCTTCGAAAATTCCAAACTCCAAGGGATTCGGGCGCGACGAGAAACTGAGTTCAATGCAAAACTGGAGGATTTTTGGGAATACAAGTTGAATGAAACACATACACACCGTGAAGAGCAGTTGCCCTGCGTTCACTCTCGGAGGACAGTCGAATCGTCGACCAGGCAAAAGGCACGTATGTCGACTTTTCATTCGGACGCTGGGAGTCGAACCCGCTCACATGCCACCCGACCGTCGAAGCGCGAAAGGTAGGTAGGTGTGCACCACGCACGATCCGAGTTCCCTCCATTCTCTCTCAAACTCGCCGTGCTGGATCATTTGGAGGGCAGGTCGAGTCCGGGTCCCAAAACAACATGGATGACTTGAAGAGAATCTGAGACGCCAGGAATTGAACCCGGACTATGTCGTACTCCCACTTAATATTCGACAAAGATAAATCAAGAGTAGGGAGTGTGCGCCACGCACCACGTCTCGGGCAACCCCTTTACAAACGCTCGCAGGTCAAGAGGATCTTCGCTGAGCTATCTCGCTGGTTTACGTCAATTAAGAAGACTCAACTGTGTACCTCGCGGGTTTGTCGCGGGTATTCGGTTGGAATTTCTCTCAATTCATGCAAAATCCCAATGAAAAAACAAAATCCTCTGGACACGAACTTACAAAATACGCCAGCTCTCCAGAGTTATGTCGCTCGCTACCTATTTTTCAACCCGCAGTTGATTGGCGTACACAGCCATCGGGCGATCCCTTCGGCCGATCACCAAAAAGGGCCAAACACAGCCTCATTCACAGCTTTCTTCTGCACCACGATGATCTTGCCAGAAGAGAAAGCCGACAAGTCCTCCCCCGCGTATGCTGCTGCTGCCCCCGCACCCGTATACGCCCACACCGAATTCGCACCGTCTCCGCCCTCCTCAGCCACGTCTGGTTCTTCCTCTCTGCGTCCGCGAGATAGATTACGGGTGGGTCTGGAACCGCCGCGCTGGCCAGCGAGTGCGAGCGAGACCGCTTTGTCCTCCACCTTATCCTCCTCCTCTGGCTCTGCGTTCCCGCCTTTACACACAACGCACTCGCACTCGCAGCAAAGCGGCTATCTGGTGCTCAAACAACCCGCGGCCTCACTAACGCGCGTCCCGCCGCCCAACCTCCCTCGGACCCCATTCCCACCGCTCTTCCTCCTAGCGGACGGCCCCTCGCTGCGGAGCGGCTTCCCTGCGGTGCCCCCGCCATCGACGGAGCAGCCGCATCCGTTTACGCTGCACGATGTGAATGAGACGGATTGGCTGCAGTGCGTATCTATTCATTCGTCTCGCACGCACTTTGATTGGTTGATTGACGATCCCCCTAGATTCCTCACTGACCTGCGCAACGTCTCAAATCTGACAGAGGAAGACCGACAAACCGCGTATTGCGTGCCCGTGCTCTCATCCGTGCCTATCATCAGTGCGTCTCGTCTATTCCTCCACTCCACCGCGGAACGCATTTACGAAGCGGCGTAGACCTAGCCATCGCGACCGCAATAACCCACCACATCCAACGCAAAAAAAAGTGGCTTGCCAGTTTATTGGTGGATAAATGGAACCATGTCAGTCCCTTCCCCTCCCTCCTTCCCCCCACTCCTTCTTCCCTCCCCTCATCCTTCCTCCTTCTGTCCTCGTTCCTCCTCCCTCCTCTATTATCATCTTATTTACCCGATTTATCCCTTACAGCACTTCTTCCACCCCCGCCGCATCGAAGTCATCCTCATGCGCGGGCAGACGAAGCTCAGCGGGCAGTCCGACCAGCCCGTAGCCAACCTCTACACGCCGCGGAGTGTCAACTTCACGGCGCCGCCACCGCCCCCGTCAGCGACTTCGTCGGGGGATAGGACATATAGGCTTTTTGTGGTGTCGATGGATGGGTGACGACGCGCTGTGGTTTATGCGGTCTGGGTACGGGGTGTTTTTTCTGTGCTCATCGGTAGTTGTGTACTCGCTTTGAACGATATCATCGTATGTACTTGCTCGTCGCTATATTTCACGTCTCTCTGGATGCGGACGAACTCGGCCCATCCGTCGGGGTCGCGAACCTTTTTCTGCTGGACGCGCGCTCCGTCAGTGGATGAACGAGTTAGGATTGTATTGCTGAGCCAGGGAGGTAAAGGGCAGCTGAAGCTACAGCATGCACCTGGTTGCACACGGCGTGCATCCGCTTCTCGTATCGGCTTATGTTCGTCCTGAACACGGACGATCCCGTTCGATTCGGGCCAGGTGCATGCTTGCGGTCGAAGTCATTTTGCTGGACGCGCGGTGCGAAATTCAACGTGAACGAACAGATTGTTCACTCAGTTAGGATTTGATAAAGGGGAAGTACAGCACCTGGTTACACACGGCGTGCATCCGCTGCTCATATAACTGGAAGTTTGCTCTGAACGCGGCGACGCCAATCGACTCGGGCCAGGTGCATGCTGCGGTCGAAGTTCTTTTGCTGGACGCGCACTGTGAAGCTCCTTCGTCAACGAACGAATCACCAACTTAACTAGGAAGGGGACAACGGGGTGGAGTGCAGCACCGTGGGCGCACACGGCGTGCATCCGCGTCTCGGGTAGATCATGTTGGTTCTGAACCCGAATAAACCCGTTCAACTCGGGCCAGGTGCGTAGTGCAAATCTGTCGCGTGAAGATTTTTGCTGGACCCGCGCTGCCAAAACCTTTCCGTCAGAGAACCAATTCTTCACCCAGCTGGCAGTAAGGGAGAAAGAGGAGAAGGAACAGCACCTGGTTGCGCACGGTGTGCATCCGCTGCTCGTCAAGATCAACATTGGTTTCTGAACGCAGAGGACCCCGTTCGACTCGGGCCGGGTGCATATGTGGCATGCCTGCAGTTTTTTTGCTGCCGAAACTGCTCCGTCAACGGACAAATTATTTGCTTAGGCAGGAAGGGAACAAGGGGCGGAGGAGGAACCGACCTGGTTGCACACGGCGTGCATGCGCCTTTCGTACCCATCTATGTTCGTCGTGCTGAACGCGGACGATTCCGTTCGACTCGAGCCAGGTGGATGGATCGGAGTTTGGACGCACGCTGCGAAATTCAATGTGAACAAATTATCCACTTACCCAGCAAGGGAGGAAGGGACGAGATACGACACCTGGTTAGCGGGCGGACCTCCGCTTCCCCACAAGGCTTGCTGCGCGTGCAGGAAGACCCCGTTCGAATCGGGGCAGCTGTATAGAATGGTACGTTCGGTCGCGACTTTTTGGAACGCGCTATCGAATCTCTGTCAACGAACAATCGCGGCATTCGCGCAGGGAGGGAGGGGAGTACAGTACCTGCTGAGTGCCCAGGTGCGTCAGGCAATCTCGTTACCTACTGCATCTCGCGTCTTGGGCGAACACTGTTCAGGTGCGTCAGGCAATCTCGTAGAATGTCAATACACAAACGCACCTGTTAGCGGAAACAGAAGGGGTTGGATCGGCCTTCGTTACTGAGATGCAGGTCGTTCGATTCGGCTTGGGTGCATGAGAGATCTAAGTACATGCAAGATGGCTTTTTACCGGGGCGATTGCGTCCGTGTTCGTTGTGTCTGGGTTAGAGTGGGATCATAGAAAGTAGATGCGGATCCGGATATCGCACCTGGTGGCTCGCATTAATGTTGAGCGTCGTAAGTGTATTAGATTTTTGATTTTTTGAGCAGATGGATGGAATGTCGTCCGTAGTAGGAGTACCGCAGGTTTTGAGGGGAGCGCAGATGACAGGCAAGCGGCTCAAGGTGGCATTTGGAGGAGGTGTCCCATGTAGCACGAATAGTTCAAGACGCGACCGCCGTTATTTGGAGGGGATAGGTAGCCATCCACGAGTTCAGTCCGCATTTGTTGCAGCTGGAGAGGTCAAGACGAACTCCAGAAAGACAAACCGCCTCGAGAATTGCTTGAGAACAAGATTACAAGGTCCAGACGCAGTAGAATCAACCGTGGCGGTAGTTTAGCAAGACTAGGATGCAGCAGGGAAGCCGTCCGAGGGCAGAAACGCGAGAGCCTGCATTTGCGGATGGAAGTTGGGAGCAAGCGCCGGGCGGCTATCACCGCCATACCAAACACGCGCAATCCTCGCTTCGCGTCTTCCCTACCACCGCAATCAAAGTTCAAGCTCCTCGCCGATGCAATTTGTGGCGACACGGGTCGTTTTCTTTGGTAGATTGGGTGAAGATTGGTATGTATTCTACATCTACACCGCCGCTCCTTGCAACGACATTTCCGTCCGAATCTCCCAATTCATGAATCATGCCAGACAGGTGGCAGGTTGGCTCGTGCGAGTGAGCTTCGATGCAGTATTGACAAACCTGCAGGTGCATATATGTCAGCTCACATGAGTAGGGCAGTACCTCGGACGTGGTGCGTGGCGCACACCCTGCAATCCATACGCTAGTTGGGAGTGCTCCGCGGGGTTTGGGTTCGACTCCCGACGTCCGATCTCATCCGTGAAGCGTGCAACTACCTTTTTCTCTCTCCTCTTTCAGCGTTTCGTTTGACCAGTTCCCACTTTGTAGGTATGTCGTTTCGGAAATCAATGATCACAATGGGTACTTCCCTCGGACGTACATGGTGGCGAACGAATGACTGGTCGATTCCCGACGTCCGAATACATCCTGTCATCCGCTATTTTTTCTTTGTTGTTTCGTTCGGCCAGCTCACACTTCCCCTGCGCGGAACACAGCGTGCTTTAGTAATTCTCCCCCGCGTCCGCCGCTCGGTGGGGTATTCCAATCATTCCGGAGTCTTTCACTCTTCCCAGGGCCTCGGGAGTCGGCTCCCGGTCTTGT